TGTACAATAACACAGAAAATATAATAGCATCATTACGAACGTTATTATGCATGGACAAATAAAAAATCGCAAATAAGCTGATAAATCGCAAATAAGCTGATAAATCGCAAATAAGTTGATATAGAATACATGCTGCAGTCTAACCTAACCTAATCTGATCACGAATAAGTTGCTAACATGCATGGAATCTATTCCATATTCTCAACCCTCGATGTATTCCACATTACCTGCATGTCGTCACATAAAAAATAAAGTCTTTCCGTAACAATAAACAAGTTTGAAATAGCAATTAATCTGCATAATATTCACTCTAAATTTCCTACAGTGAAATCTCACTCCAAGAAAGTGAAAATGCAACCACCCTTGAAAAAAAGTGAAAATATTTCACTTCTTGAAAAAAGAGTGACGATCTTTACTCTTTTTAGAGTGAATTTTCATTTCAAAAAAGTGAAATTTCATTCCAAAAAAGTAAGATTTCACTCTAAAAAGAGTGAAGACCGTCACTTTTTTTTCAAGAAGTGAAATATTTTCACTTTTTTTCAAGGGTGGTTGCATTTTCACTCTCTTGAAGTGAGATTTCGCTGTACGAAATTTAGAGTGTTGCTCATGCAACATTATTAAAAGCGTCTGTGCAATATAAGCATTAAAAAAACTTACTTCCAGTTTGTGAGAACACTTTTTGGAAAAAGCTGCCGAATCTTCGGACGTAACGAAAATGAATAAATGTTAATTGTAGCAAAACGGTTGGTCGGACCGAGTTCATTGCTTGTTATGACATGTTTGGTAACAGTTGCAATAACTTTTAGCGATTGCCGCCAGATTGCAATGCTTTGTTTAAAAAATAAGCCATTATTCCATATTAGTAGACTATGCCATAATCCCTGATTTTACCCTATATGCAATTTTATCAAATAAACATATTTTGTAATATTTCTTTTATAAAATAAATTGAATAATTTTTGAAATAATAACACGATGTCATTTGTCAATAATGTGTTGATCATAATGTGTAAATTCTATTACGAGGATAAGAAAATGTTTTCATTAGCCATCATCTCCCATCAAATAAATTTTTACGTATAAATCTATTGTTATTCTCATTAGCAAATTCATTTAGATATTATATAAACAAATCATCATTGAAACTGACATAACTGACGTTATTCGTATCGAATATTATTACTAATTCGTGTTGAAATATAACTGTATCGTGTGTGTTGCTAACAAATCGATAAACACAACACACAAACAACGATGTTAAATAGTTCATAAATACATTTCTCGTTTCAACATGACGCTTATGGTCCCCACCAGTTTAATTAGAAAAATTTTTTAAATCATGAATATATTTGGGACTCGAATCATACATGTAATCGCGTTGCACATGGCTGCACAAGAATGATACGATGATGTTGTTCAAGTGGACATCTGACGATTAATTTCCAAATTGCAATTTCGTTCAATTTGCCGAGACGTCGTTGAGATGGCTACGCGAAGGCAGGGTGCCGTTGACTCTAACTACAGTGCTAGATCCCATTAACGTTCGTAACAACGTTATACGGACGATCTCATTGCTAGCTCGGCTTCGTACATTTGTTTTCGACCTAGTTCCAGTACTTAATGTCTCTTATATAATCAATGCACCGTTAGCGTTCGTGAAATATAAATGCATGTTACGCTAAAGCAACAACAAACTTGCCGAGAAAATTTGAAAATTCCTTTATTTCTCCTGATTGGCTCAAGTATTATTTTAAATACATAGATACCTTCCTCAAAGAAGCTGAATAAACAATAAATAAATATATCGAAAAAGAATCATAATCATTACACTCTAAAAAATGTCAGTGTGAATTTAACACCAACACAGTGAGAATGTAATATTCTATAGACACCGTATGAGCGTTGAATTCACACGGTTATTTTTTAGAGTGTACCTTTATTATTCTTTTAATTGATATTTAATGGTAATTAATGATATTAATTATCTATAAAATTACCTAATTTCAAGATTTTGAAATGAATTCCATGAAATAGATTAAATTGAGATGAATTTTATGAAACAGAAATACAAGAAAACTAAAAAAAGTCTTACAATTTTTATGATTTTTTTCAATATCTTTATATTAGCCAAAATGTCTCTGATATTTCAATTTTTGCTTCAAAACTGATTAATATCTATAGAGTATGCCAACATTTCAATTTATTTTCTCTTCCAGTTTTCAGTCTTGATCTAAAAGAATAACGAATGTTAAGTATTCGTGACGCATATGAAACCTGTTCTCATAATTTATATACAGGTGCGTGCGTTATGTATAACAAACATGCTGTGTGCTACACCACAATGCTATTTACATAAATTTGCCTACAGTTTCTTTTCTCGTCCAGTTTACTTTACCGGGCCCCTAAATTCAAGACATAATTTTATATAAATTCTAAGAAAACGTCAGGGGTGAGAGGTTGTAGAGATTAAATGAAAAAAATATGTACATATTTATGTACTAATAAGCATTCATGCTAATTAGATTATAACATTTACAAAAATAAATAAATAAAAATTTATTCTCTATATAGATAAACAGTCTTTAAACATAATATTTAAGTGTGTTCAATGTGTTCTTAATAATTACTTAATCAATTACGCCTATATAAACATATATCTTTTTATTTTATATTTCCTGTTATTTTGAAATAATAATAAAACGCAAAGAGGAGTCCAATGGAAAATTTCTCGTTAAATGCTGACAACAAAAGTACTAAGCATTGTTGGGATACATGTTTTACGCGAAAGAGGAACCGTATAATCAACCCTAGCAGTAACATTATACAAAGCAAAGTAAAACGAGAAACACAAAAACATTAAACGAAAAAGGGATTTGTTTCTTCTATTATGTATAAAGTACAAATTGTTATTTCTGCTTTCCAAAATATGAAAAGCAAGTTAATTATGTATAAGAACATGCTTAGTGTTAAACATATAATAAAATAATTTAACGCTATAATTTAACGTTTTAATTAATTAATTAATATTGAACTTTTATAAAAAGTTTATAGAATTATCCTGTTTGAAATGACGTATCTACAAGAATTACCGAAAACTTCTATAATCCTGATAGTCTGTATCCTTATTACCAACGTTTAACCAGAAAAAGGATATTTGCATGAATTATTTTTCTAGGTCGCTCATATCCAACAACAACGAGACCGCATATGTTCGGGCGATGACATATGTACAGCTAGCTCTGCGGCACGGAGCCGGTAAAACGGCGACATGAGAGCTTTCGCGTTATAAGAAGTATTCGGAGCGTGTGAGATCGAGCCCGACTGGGCGGGTATGCCGGATTTATGGCAGCCGTGCACGGCAGCGGGTTAAAACAACGTTGATGCCCTGCCCCGAGCCGGTGAACACGAACGATTACCCACGGATCGCGAGTAACACGGCCTACTCGGTCAACGCGGTACAGAATCCACGACATTGTCCTCCTGGTATTGACATTCGCGGTCTGACAGAATACAAGTGTGCTAAGCCTCAGTTAATAAAGCACGGTGCAACCAACGTATCATTTATTAAAGCGCGATTTACTCATGGTTGTTCGAGCGATCTGTATCCTGTATATAAGGATACGTGACAAATTTATATAAAATATTACACATTTACGATCTTAGCTTAAATTGTAGATTGAAAAAGAGAGATTTTCTGCTTTCAAAGGAAACGAATAGGTCGAATTTACATATTTAATTAACTTTGGAACCTTTTCAAATATAAAATTTTATTTTGAAATCTTTTTCTAATTATATAAAGGTAAATCATTAAAAATGTAAAGTAAATGACGGTTTTCCTCCTATTTTTGTTATTTGTAAAAGGATTTAGTTGTCATTAAAATTAAGATTGAAAGCTATGACAGACATCCTATGCTAAATATAATGTATAAATATAAATCGTATTTCGATCTACCAGCTGATAAAACTCACTCGATTAACAATAATTTATATTCTAATTGTTAGTATTAGGTTGAAACAAAAGTTCGTAGTATTACGCTTCAAAATTCGAGTATATAGCTGTCCATAAAAAATAAATAAAATTTAAATTTAAAAAAGAGCTTTAAAGCTTAAAATCTCTACTTTTAAATCACTGTCTTTTGAGTTTCTGTGAGTTTAGTAATTTTTACATTTAAAAAACCATAAGCTGAACAAAATGGAAAATTTTCCACTTTTTAACACGAAAGCTTAAAGTTTTCCCTACAAAATCGTTTTTTTAATGTTTTTAAAATTTTTTGTTACTGAATTATATTGCGTATCGCAATTTAAAAAACAAATTAAAACTGAAACATTCCTCTATCAAATAATATAAATGCCAATTTAAAAAAAACCCATGTAGATTGCAATACAAATAAAGTAGCGTTATGATCTTTTGTTCCAATTCAATATTTCTTCATATGTGCCTGCGAAAAGTTATATTAGCGCAAGACTTGTTAAGAATTGCACTCTGTTGGGAAATTGCTCCAGCAATTCCAATGAAAATTCGCAATAATTTCAAGCTGTAGACGGGAAGGAGATTGCCAGTGCAGATTAGATTAGCGGATTGCCAGATTACAGAGTAGAGTCCCTGTAAGAGCAATGTTTCTGACGCGTACTGAAATACGGCGTCTTTTAATGCGTACCTTCAAAAAATGGCAGGAATATCAGCGACATATCGCTGAAATGTTCACCAGTTTACACGAACGATTCTCAAGCACGTAAAAAGTACACGCCAAGAAGCGACTTCGTTACTTCAATTGTGGATTAATTTGACTCGCCATTTATTCCCTTATTGTGAACGTGTTGCACGGCACCTGTACAATTCCAAATTTACGTCTTCTGTTTGCATATTTCTTCAACGAATACAATATACTTTGTAATAAGCCGAGCACTAAAATCTTATCACGCCCTTTAACTATAACATATTTTTCTTTATTTTTCTTGGGTACGCGCAAGTATCTTGATTAAAAGGACCATTTATTCGAGAATGGAGTCGACCTCTTATTTTAATATGTACGATCGTACGATTCCTGTACAGTGTGGTAGATGCCAGTTGCAGAACAACCGCGTAGCGACGAAGCGTTACGTTGTTCTAAGTAAAATTATTACCTTGGCGTCATCCACGTGACACGGAATCAGGCAAAGGTACGTTGACCAAAACTGGCTTGACCACATCGCGTGACAACGACGGCTGGCCGCGGACCGTATATACCGTGAAATATTAAGAGTAGTTAAGCGATTTTGAACACGACATGGCAAAGTGGGCGCACCGCGCCATTTTTGCGGTCCGTTATTAATTTTCCCGCTACGAAAATCCAGCCGTCCGTCCCTTGCGGACGCCGTCCGCCGCCACCGACCAAGTCGTTTTAATTAATTTTAATTGATTAATTTTAACTAAGCGCCTTCTCCGCCACCGCGCCCTTCACGGCATGTTATTAAGCAGCGCCACTTCATTTTCGAAGTGTATCCGGGAACTGGAGCAAAGTGCTGCTGTTTGCAAAATACACGGTAAATTTCGGTGAGATAATATGAAAATTCACGAAATAATTTTTACTCTCAACCGTTGTAGTAATAATTAATAATAATACATCTGCATGAGAAAAAATACAGGAAAAATATTCTAATTGAAGATACATATGATATAATAAATATTTTTGGAGGTTATTTTCGTCGAGATATATCCTATTTTAGTAAAATCTTCGTAGTCATTATAACAAACTTGTGTATTTTTACTTTATATGCTTATTACAACAAACTTATGCCTTTACTTTATACATTTTTACTTGAAAATCTAAAAATAACGTAATTTAACACAATCTAAAAAGAGATAAAAGAAAGAGAGTACCAACTAGAGACAAAATACAGCTAATAGTACAACAAAGTCAGGTGTAACGTAGAAGTTTGAGAGACGAGTGTGTTTTAAAAGAAAACTACAGTTGCACAGTAGGTCCGTCACGCGAAAACTTTCGTCTGTTTCAGGCGGTGTCATGAGCTACACTATACCAGATGCTTCCCTGCCGGAGTTTAGTGACATCTCATACGACGGTAAGAGGCAGGACAACTTGTTGACCGATGGTTTAGGTTGTCTAATCGATGGTGAGGTCGGCGAGGATAATTACAGACTGGACATGGGAAATGGAAAAGGTAATCGGTGGGTGAACACGTGCGGGAGCGTTAAATAGTCAAAACATAGATAATATTTCAGTAATTTTCGCTAATAAATCAATTTCAGACAAAATGTGTTTCTTTATATCAGAAACATTTGCAATTATTATATTTTATATGAATTATTGCAAATATTATATTCAATATTTTTCATTGTAAACAGCTTTGCTCTTCATTATATAATCGTGTTTCGCAACTTTATCGCGTAATATTGAAACAAAAAGAGTTTCTTGATAATAAATTTCTTTTGAAACTTTATCCTTTCATATTCTACCTTCAATAAAAAATAAATCCCACAACATTATCATCACGCGTAAATGTTTGCAACAATTACACTACATTGTTTGCTGCGATAGAAAACCGCAACAAAATAGTGCAATTCATTACGTTTGTATAAAAGTTCTTTCTCCGTTGGCTATAGGCACAGGTTGGGTTGCTTGGCTTCGTGACACTTTTCAAGAGAAGTTTGTGGAGCTCATCTTCGAGTTTGAAGCCATGATGATTTTCGAAGCGGTACACATCTATACCAACAATTATTTCTCGCGAGACGTTCAGGTAATTTTCAACTCACTTTTGCGTAATGTCTTCCACTCACGTACTTTCATGAACTTTTCTTTGTACAAAGCAGATGAAAATGATTATCTAACAAGATAAGTCACTAATTTCACAACAATGCAAATTTTTATCGATAATCGTGAGATTTTTAAATATAATTTAAAAATTATTTGTCTTTTTTTTTTAATTTCTAATCCTGAACTAAACACGGGACACTACGCACAATATTAACTGAGAAAACATTTTTGTAACATAATCGAAATTTAATATATGTGATATCAGGATTCCTATCAATTGCATTGAAAGCAATATTAACGGGATTTAAATAATGATTACTTTGCCAAACTGTATATCAAAACGAAATAATTGCGCTACGTATCATTATGAACGTGTCAATCAGGAAGTGCCAATCAGATATCCTCGAAGATGAAACAGAATATCCATGACAAGAAATATTTTCCCTTTTATATTATAGATGTCATTTGTAGATATCAATCCGCAACATGTATCATAAATGACATGATTAACGATTTGTTGATTATATAGTCGATAGTTATCAACATGCATGTACACTTCTTTAATGTCAATGCCCTCATACGGTTCATAACATAAAACAGTTTTTACATATGTATCAAAGTGCATCGACCACACAATAAAAACGAATGTAACTACACGATAAAAACAAGCTTAAACGCATCACGAGTCTGCAATTTTCTGGAATATGTCAACCATTATATCCTCTTCAGGTAGAAATGGTATATAGAAATTATTCTATTTCTTTTACTATGCATTTTAAACTTAAAAACAGAATATTAATATTTGCCAATTTGTATTGTTTTTTTACAATTTAGTTTCTTCAAAATCTATTTCTTGCGTGATCATTTTATTTCTAAATAATTTAAACATTTAATGAAACATGAATTAAATATATTCTTCTTGTTTATTTTAAACTTCAAAGAAGACATATGTTTCAATTTGAATTTGGTTTACACAACAGGTATTTTCGAAGGCGGTGATATGGTTCAGTATCGATGGCGAAACTTATGAAGAGGAGTTTTTGCCTTATTCTTATATACCGGACGTCGTGCTAGAAAACGCTCGAAACGTTTCAATCGGTCTACACGGACGGGAAGGAAGACTCATCAAATTGCATCTGTATTTCGCCGCGCGATGGATCATAATCAGCGAAGTGACATTCGACGCAAGTAAGCATTTCCCCGTATCTCATTTTCTTCCAGTGGAGACAACCTGTTCTTTTTACAATTAGTTTTTACATTACTTTCGACGTCATTCCACAAAACAAAAATTTGCCGCGTTCTTTTAGATTTCCCGCGGGTTTCTTTGGACATCTTGCACATTACCTGACCTAAATATCAACCTAGACAACAAGAAAAACTTGCTAAAATAAATGAGCGAATTACTTAACTGTAATTTGCAGATCGTACTGCTTCAAGAAATATTGTAACGAACGAAGTTATAATGATCCATTGGATTATCTCGCTCTGCTTCGCATGCATCTACCGACTTCAATTACCTTTTAATAACCTTCACATTTATGTTTCGAATATCGCATTTCTTTAATTTTATCGCACTAATGACCGTTTGAGTTAACGACATCGATCGCATATGATAATCCCATTTAAATCTTTATGCGAATGTGTAAAATATGTAATATTCTTCATTGTACAGAAATATGCAGTAATAACCGACATAAAATTTTTTTTACTGCTTCTCATTTCTAATACAGTAGCAAAAATTACGTGAAAAATTTATTCATATGCGAATACAAATAGCAACGTTCTTTTTTTATTTAATATAAATATAATTTTAATAGATAAAATTAATAGGATTATATAAATAGTGTACAAATTTCAAAACAAATAGTAAATATTATAATAGCATTGCTTCCATCCTTTTGATAATTCGCACTTAAAATAATCTTCATAAATCTTAGAAATTTTCCGTGGATTCAAGTTAGCTACAGCTATTTTCCGCTTTCAGCAAATCCCTACGAAAACACTACGGAAGAAGCAGCGTCCGAGTTTAGCAACCGGGAGATTCCAGTCAACCCCGAAGTAGATCTCAACTTACAAACGAGTAAGTAACTTGCCAAGAGTGGTATTAATTCGTATCAATCTCGTTCTAATTAAGCATTGGCTACTAAAAACTTTTCACTTCTCGTATCGCATGCCTTTAAGTAACACGGCTCCAAATTCATAAGAGTACTTCATACATTTAATATTTCACGTTTTATTTGCACATCTGTCTCGGGCGTCTCTCACGTAGTTAAGTAATAATGCCTTACTTACACACGAGCGCTTATTTTAGACGTTACTTAATTTCAAATGTAACCGATTTGATAACGGCGTTTAAAATCAATTTCATTTTTAATTATTGAATGCATCTTTGCATGAATGGTTATAAATGAAAGCGATCATTAATCTTGATTATTCACTGCTATTTTCATTTTAACATTTCTGTTTTATTACCAACATTATATTATACATTTCTTCTTTCAACTTAACTGCATTTGAAAATTTAAATCTTAATTAACTAAAAAGTCAGTTTAACGAAGATAAGCTTTTACTCATCAAATAAATTTAATTATCCAATAAGAGTTTAATAACTTAATTGAACTTTACCGTAAAGAATTTGATTTTTTAAAGAAATATATTTGATTTTATAACGTTCTTATTTTTTATTAATAAATATTTCAAGTGTATTTTCTTATATTTTGACATTCTCGAGAATATTTTTTTTTATATTATCCGATGTTGGTTGAACCTTTACTTATTAACAATTTAAAAACAATTTGAATTCTTTATATTTAACAACTAATGACCTTTACTTATCGCAATTATGTTTTTTGATGTAGATTTATATTATGATACTTATAATTTCATAATCTTCAACCTTTATGTAACATGCGTATTCAGTCCAGTTTAAAAATGAGCGACATTTATTCAGCTAACTTTGTTAGCGAAACGAGGCCGTTATTCTTTGCCAAGAAGAAGATACGATTAGGAAAAGTCATTGTCCGACATAGAAGAGAAAGAGATGCGGTTGCACTTTATAATTCACGTAGCAACTTCCTCGTAACGTAAACAATTAGTCGGGTTAAGAGGTAGCGCATTTGAGGAAAGAAGAAAAGAAAACAGGAAAAGAAAAGTAAGGTCGACTCTGGCATAATTACGTATATCTCATAGTTTGTGCCAACAACAAATCCTACGCTGCATTTTCCAGGCCGCAAAACAAATTAAAAATATGCATTTTCCGCTTGAATCATTGAGTATAATCAAAGGAATTGCTTATCCAGATGAAAAATTAAAAGCCGCAGCGGAAAATGGAAGTAAGGAATATCAATTCAACAGTATTATGTGTAGGCGGCAAATTCTATAATAATATATTGAAGTATTTTTAGTGGAATCACATGTTTCTATGTATATGTACAGTTTTAATCTATACCACAGTTTTCCGATATTAACAATGAATAATTACATTAGTCTTTTTTTCCCTACGTCATATGTCCCAAAGCGTACGATAAAAGGAAAGACATATCAACCGTTAGAACAAAAAACAAATACAGCATAATTTGTCGCTCGAATAGATAGAGAAGCGTGCATGAATACAGAGAAATAAATTACATTACGAAAGGAGAACGAGAAATGAGAATAAAAAATGGTAAAAACTTATAACACGGAGATGGGAGCGAGGAAGATGCAGATAACAGGAAGTGCAGCAGATAAATGAGGACGTGGGAGGATGTTGGGAAGAATACTCGACTGCGGCATAATTACGGCTCTCTGATATACCTCGCTATCCACGAATCCTATCCTCCCCCCTGCCCCCTCCGGTCGAAAAAATAGACTTGAGCACTTTCCCGGTTCTCCATTATAAATAAAGGAAACGCGAACGGGTCCTCAAATAAAGCAACCGCGAAATCGTCCGACCGTGCGCAAATGCAGCACGTGCGCTAAAAAAGATGGCACAACGCGAGGGAAGGGCGACAAAGGGTAAAAAACGGAGTTACTAAACTAAAAACAACATGTAAACTGAGCGTCCGCTTTACGGTGGTCTGCATTCAAAAGGACGCGGCCGTTGGTGGTGCCGTTAATATAGTTCTTGCACGTAACTTTTTACATAGTTCACAAGTGGGAAAACCAAAGAAAGCACAGCGCTTTCATAATTCAAGCGCCGATATTCGCGCGATCGATTATGCGGATTAGCCAACGTCTGATTCGACAGAGCGGAAGCGGGAGGATTAGAGTCATAAAAGAACGAACGAAATAAGACAACCAAGAGGGAAACCTGAACGGAGAGAGCAGTCGACTCTATAATTACATATCTCTGATAGACTGTGCAAATGCCGAACTTTATTCTTCATTCCCTTCTGATTACAGATATTTTCTCTAGTCAGCTGCAAATAAAGAAGCGAATGTAATTATTCATTTGAGGAAATAAGAGAAGATATAGAGAGATACCCTCCATATTGTAAAACCGATTGTTCAAAATTAAGAAACTCTTGTTTGTTATCGCACTTACAAAATCATTTATCACTATTTTTATCTCACAAAAAGAGTATTAACAGTACAAATATCCAATATTAATAAGCAAATATTATGTACTCGTATGAATACTATAATATTATTAAATATAAACAAATATTATGACATTAATATTTTTGCGAGATGAAAAAATGACTGAAGTGTACAATTTAAAAAATTGTTATAAAAGAAACACATGCAGGACAAATACAAAAGAGTAGATATTTTTTTCTTTTGTCTTATTTTAATGACAGCCTGAAAAGGTTCTTAAAAAAGTAGTTGCTACAAATATATAATCTTTTTAAAATATGCAACATGTCCGACTCCATATAAATGGGTACGAAATAAATAAACAACATAAATAAGCAAAGAAGGACATACTCAGTTAAAGCGGAAGTTTAAATAACCGAAGAAATATGAGCTTAAACAAGATCAACAAATATAAGAGAAGGACTAAAGTAATCGATTCGGTTGCAATAGCGCAACGCCAAAATAGTGCTTCAAAACGGACGATATGAAATTCGATGAATACGTTTCAATGCGCGGCTGCAAATAAAGCAACGGTAAGCTGTCTGCCGTTGCTCGATCGGAAAAATATAATAGGCCGTAGATGTGTAGGCAAACAATACGTCACATTGAAATACTAAAAATTATAACAAAAAAGATAGATAACGACAGACTCAAACGCTACACATGTGCATATAATACTGGATTTACGGGGCACACAGTTTTATCTCTTATCCGTTGTTCTCTCAAAAACAAAAGACAGAACCACGAAAGGAGCAAGAAACGAGAAAAACGGGGACACGAGCAAAGAAGGTACGCGTGAGCATAAAAGTGGGAATTAAAAGCGTTTCTGCGCTTCTCTTCGAGCAATTTTCTTTTTCTACATGACCAAGAGGAAGCGTCATTTGAAATCTAGATTTCCTCATCCGCGCATTGGTACTCGTACGGTGACGCCTTCTTGAATTAAACTGATGTTTTAGTAATCGTTTGCTACGGTTTTTAAATAATCATTCGCTTGGCGGTACTCTGTACTTGATCGAAGAAAAATCGGTAGACGATCTTGAGCATCACGCGAACACTTTCGACTAACTTATTTATTTCTACAGCAAAAAATCACAGTCATCCTGCTGTAGCTTCAGGGCACTTGGCACGAACAGTACGACGACGTACGACAAAAGAAAATCATAGTTTTTTGCAATGTAAATTAACAACGATTGTGAAGAAAGAGAATTTAGCTTCTTTCATGAACGATAAAATGATTTTCTAAGAGTTTTTAAACTTCCTTTATTAACTTGGAGAAAAATACGGTCTGAATTTAAAAATAGGTAGAATGTACGTTAGAACAGAAAATATATCTTGCCAAGTTGTTCGATGTATTCTGTATCCCGTACTCTATATTTCTATATTCCCTGTATATTCTGTTTATCCCTATAAATTTTGTATAGTTACAGCACCAGGAGACAGCCAAGAATATCTGGAAGTACTGATAGGTGTGCTTACAGCCATTATATTGCTGCTCCTGCTGGTCTTCTTCATCATTCTATTTTTAAATCGGCGACAAAAGCTGCAGAGTTCTCCGACGGTGTTAAAAAATCCATTTGGCTTCGCCATAAATATGAAGGTAGGACAAATTACGTTTCACTTAGATCTTCAAAAATAAATAACCATAAGAGCTCGAATAAACCGAAATTTATAGGGTCTCCTCTTGAATTTAACACCCGGTGGGATGCTGGCAGCAGAAACTGCCAATCATGTTTCACCTGACATACCGGAGGACGTCAGTATGCATGAGTCACTCACGATGGAACAATTTAACTCGCCGCTCGTCAGTCCCCAATACAAATCCACATACGCTATTGTAGCTAATTCCGGTAAGTGAGCATTAGCGTTATTGTGCACTCGCATTTGAGAATAGCACGCTGCTGTGCTAAAAACGGTCTTTGCTATCGAACAAATATCGAAAAGTGATAAAACGATATTTTTCAGAATCCCCAAAGGATTTCAAAAACATAGAAATTTCGGAAGAAAATGTACGGCTGGACGCAAGACCGGAATCCACAGTCGGTCCATCCAGCTGTTCCTCGTCACCGACTAACTCGCCGGCTCGTCACTCCCAACATTACAGAACCCTTCAAAGTTATAGCAGTCCAACTAGGAAACTCAATATCGCGGTTACGCCCAATCACCAAAGGGACGTCGATCAGGTTCACTCGAAACGCTGGCATACAGCGCCAAAGGAGAAGCACAAGGTATACATTAGTTATATATCATACGTGTACAATTTAACGATGCATTTGACTGATTGCGCCACGCGATGGCAAAGGAAAAGGAAAAGTACATTATGTCACATAACTGGAAATCAAACTTGCCGCTACTCCAAACCTTAGATTTGCGACATCAAAGTGCAATTTACGTCTATCTTGTTGTAAAAGAACCTTGTTTTGACAGCAAAAAAATGATAGAGAAAATTATAACAACTACGAACAATTAAAAAAGTATCATTTAATTATAGATACCGGCACCTGTCGTAAGTTGGAACATCGCACCCAGTATGAACAAACCGTACAAGTGCAAGGAAATAGAGCCAACCAATATACCACATCAGTGCCTACGAACGACAGAGAAACTTGGCTCGAGAACCATAGGAGAGGTACGATATACTTATAAAAATAAATATAAGTAATGTACAAATTGAATGAAAGTCATTTAAAAACATTGCTATTTTTTATCTAAATGACTAACTACGTCACTAATTATGATAACTACGATACTAAATTTATATCCAATTTCAAATTTAAACCAATAAATATTAACTAACAATAATATCATCAATGTTAATTAATTTCACACTCAACGATATAAACGTAATATGATATATTGTACGTAACGATTAATTGTTGAATATGAAATTATAACATTGATATGTTATTATTAATTGGTATTCACTTTGCATTCCGCAAAATATCCATAAATTTTCTTTCAACGTGTCGTACCGTAATAAAGAAAAATTTAAACGTTAAAAGGAATTGTCGGAAAGTATGATCTTAGCTTATCACGTATTTGAGATACGACGGATATAAATATGCCCGCAGCATTTGATGGATGCACGTTTCTGGCTCCACTTGCGCTTAGCAGTTGCGGGCGGTGGCGAAATGTAATTTACATATTTATCTAAATAATATGTATGTATTCTACAATCCTGATACGTACTTGCTTTCCTTTCTGACAATATTATGTAATTTTTCGAACATGTAAAAATAACGGTAAATAAACATATTTTTATTCATCTCTTGAATGTTAAACGATAAAAAAAGTGTTGAGCAAATAAAGACAGTTGTTTTCTATCATCTATCGTCAAATTTCAAATTGAATACAAATTAGTAACTTAGTCATCGAAATAAAGAATTATCCTCATTGGAAATATGAAATTCCATTTACGGAGAAAGAGATAAATAATCACTGCAGCATATTTGTAATACTTTTAACATATTAAACATACCCTAAAGAAAGTATTGTTTGTACGATTTGCAGGCTATAGTATGCGAAGCTGTTGGTCTAGATGAAATCATATCTGGCGCTCCCAAATTAGTCGTTGCTCGTGTACCCCTGTGTACCAGCGACATTCGAACTAACAACGCAGTAGACCAGATGAGAGAAGTGCAATTTCTATCATGTTTATCTGACCCAAATGTGGCACGTATCTTAGGAATCTGCACTGTCGAGCCAGTGCCGTGGACAATCATAGAGTACACGGAACTCGGTGACCTTGCTCATTATCTTCAATACAGTGTACCTCTGACGGGAACGCTCAGGCCAAATTGCAATCTAAAAGCTCTTAGGTAAGAACTTTTTTAGAATAATCTTTACCTAACAATTAACTATCAAAGGTTAAGGTTTCTCTCCATTGCTTGCTTTACGAATTTTTCGTATATAAAATTTATTTGACTATTTCTAGTCAAAGTTGTCTGCTGTATATGGGAACACAAATAGCATCGGGAATGAGATTCCTTGAATCGAAGAATTTGGTGCACAAGGACTTGGCGGCCAGAAATTGTCTGGTAGGCCGTTCTTACACCGTGAAAGTGACTGATATAGCTATGTGCAGCGATCTTTACAAGAAAGATTACAGCGATATAGGAGGTAGACCACCCGCACCGATAAGATGGTTACCGTGGGAAAGTATTTTATTGGTAAGTAATCTTCTCTTTTTCAAGTGTTTCTACAATTTTATTTATTAAAATTGTTAATAAATTTGCAATCAATAGCAAAAATATCCAAAAAGATTTTTATTTGATTTAAATTAAATTTCTAATTTTTAATATTTTTGCAACGCACACAGAAAGTTTAAACTAAAAATTAAAACAAATTTTTTATATAATATTTAAATTCTTGAAGTGTTTTTTCTTCGAATAATTTTTAACTTGAATATTCAATCAAATCTTCCAATAAAAAAAAATTTTAGATTTATCACAATTTATTATTAAAATTACATATGTTTCAAAACGTTCATTAACAAAAAAGTTTATTTTAGATTCATCACAAAATTTGTTACTAAATTAAAGCCGTAACCCAGCGAGAAATGATTCATCGAATTAATGTCAAATTGACATTGATATAATGCAATATCAATGATTCAACGTCAATTAGACGTCGAATTGACGTCTAACCGACAGTCATTTCTCGCTGAGAATTTGTGAGATAAATTTGCACGAAGAGTGAACAGCAACAATACTTAAATATTTAAATTTCAGGATAGGTATACATGTTCGAGTAGCATATGGTCATTTGCCGTAACACTATGGGAGGTAATGAGTCTGGCTAGAGAAAAACCTTTTCAACATTTGTCAAATGATCAAGTTATTCAGAACGCTGAGCATATGTATTACGGAGCGGAGCTACAAGTAAGTAAATTATCTAATCGGCAATCACTTTTATACAATTAATCACTCTCTTGTTCATCGATTAATCATTAAATCTTGTTTAAAAATAGAATTTTAACACATTACAAATTAACTAAATCTTAAGCAATCAAATTTTGAATATATCACATTTAATTGTGTATTAAAAATAATTGTACGGAATATTAATACAATTGGAATTTACATTACAATAGCCACAAATAAAAATTAAATAAACTTTTTACTTATTACACTATGAAAGAAAAGTTTAATAATAGCTACCAAATATTTAGTGAAATAATACCAATTTAAATATTTGATTAATTATAGCCAGAAATTATTTTACTTTCCTAAATAGTTTAGTAAATATTATCAAACAAACAAAAACAACAAAAATAATATTATTTGGTATATAGCTATTACCAAACTCTTTTCTCAGTGTATTTATTATTTCACTTCTTGTATTTTAGGTACTTTTACCAAAACCAACAATGTGTCCGGAGGAGGTCTATCGGATGATGTGCTCATGTTGGAGAAGAGATGAGACATCGCGACCAACCTTCAAGGATATCTACACGTTCCTGAAGAATATAATAGCGGACTATCGACCTGGTGCATAAATAATCTTGGTTAACTGTGATACAAAATCAACAGCTAATCTCCCGGAATGTGAACGACATCGTCGGAAATATTTCGAGTAGGACAAAGCATTACATGAGATCGTACTCGCTGGGCATGACGCCTTGCGTGAAATCAGATTCTCCAGAAATGTACAATCGTTAGTTTTAGATATACGTATGTATCGGAGACACTAGATCTTGTGTCTCCTTCCTTGCGCAGAAAACTCGACAAATGAAAAATCGCACGCCGAGTACAAAGCTCAGCAGTGATCGAAAATGATCTCCTGCGGACTCTATTGCGCGTAATTTGTTAGCCGGACAAGCAATAGCGATAATGGAGCGAATGCCAAACGAGCACAAGGAGAGATGTATAATTGACGTATAAGTGTTTAGTTTGTTTTCTTCAGATAATCAAGATCGATAATTTCGCTCTTCAACTCGAGTGTATAATCGCGTCACTTTTATCTGGACGTTTAATAAGATTTCATTTTCTAGTCAATACAAATCTTTAATTCTCACGAAAGTGCTATCGTGTACAGTATTCTAACATTAATAATATGTAATGTACGCTAATATGCTCAGTACTGATAAAGTCTATCCATTTGTACATATAAATTTAGGTCTTAACGCTAGGTGAATGAGAAATTTTTATGGCAGTTAGTTTCACGACGAAGCTGTTTCCATTTTTTTCCTTTCACACGTTAAATTATTACATTTAACTTTTCTATAAGCCTGACGATACGCGAAAATGGCACTAATAAAATTCTTTTTTATATTAAATCGCAAATATATAACGAATTGAGTTGGCTTAAGTATAAAAAATAAAAATAAAATCGAGTAATATTTGAAAAAGTCAGATGTTTAGTTGATTAAATAAAGCCGCGAGATAATTTTATCAGCTTATCGTCTTACTACGTCTTAAAAATTTCAACTTATAGTCATCTTGTACATTGAAGCCCATCAATAGTAAGTACTTATTATTCCATTATTCGTTTAAGTTGGAATTGTACTACGCTAAGAGGTGTAGATTTCAAGATCAATCCCATTATTCGTTTAAATTGGAATTGTACTACGCTAAGTGGTGTAGATTACAAGATTTACCCAAAAACATAACATGAACATATCTTCGCTCATTTTTATTTAAGAATAGAAAAAGATGCTGAAACATCTAGCAACGTATCATGCTTTGGAAGGAATAAATAAAAATTTAAACAATGCCATATATTTGTTGGAATTTCAAATTACGGACGCTTGAGCGTATCGACAAGATAGCAATACAAAATGAAAATGTTAATAAAAAGATATAGAATAATGACATAACAATATGTGTTTGTCTTATTACTGAATAATAATTAGAATAATTTCATTTATTTGTATTAATTTTATTTATTTATATATCCATTGTAATTATTTTTCGATTTATAATTAATATTTTTATATAATTACTGTTATAAGATATGCCAATAAGTTGACCAATAATGAAATTCAGTTCATAAATATGAAAGTAATTTTAACAAAAAAGTAGAAACGTTCAAACGTCCTAGTCCTTATTTTTCAAAGCTAAAAAGATTAAATAAATTTTCAGATTTATTGTTATAATTGGTTGTCAGATTAAAGTATGTAAACAAGGACAAAATTGATATCAATCTCGATGAATGATAAAATTGTTTATAGAGTGCTTGTTCGTAGAGTACTTGGTAACGAATTAATCTTTTCAATAAATTCATTCGTCTGATGAAAGATCCAATGAAAGATCTATTACCTCATCATCTGATTTGGTTAATCGGTTATGAAGATTAAATTTTTCAGGCTCTTATTTGCAGGAACATAAAAGTTATTAATAATAATTCATTTAGAAGAATAACTTATATTCAATCTCAAGATGATCATTTTAAGTATTTTTTTATAAGGCAAGTATGAACCATGCTACTAAACTCTGAAACAGATGAGACAAACGCTTATATAAAGATTTTTTATTATTTTTGAATACTATATAAATTTTACTCTGAAGTTATGTCCATGTATTAAAAAAAATCTCCTGTATAATGAGTAACGTAATACAGCTGGCATATTCCTATTTTGCACATTATAAAAATTTTCTTTATTTAAAAAAATGTTTCTCTCTACTCCCGCTTGTCAAATAATCCATATTTTTACTTCCAATATAAATGAAAACATTGCAAATTTCCCAATATAATTAATCATTCTTTCGGACAGGAATATAAAACATGTACTATATTATATTTGCACACGCTATTTATCGGATAGTCTTATAAATCCGGTCAAAATCAATCGGAAATATCCGTTTGTTACTTTTTGAACGGATAAAGCCCGGAAATTTTTCTCAGTGTATAAATTAAATTTTATAATTTTACATATAATACGTTCAAAAAATTCCATGAGTAAAATGCTGATATATAATCTCTGGCGTGTTATTAGACGATACCAGAGCCGTAGAAAATTGATAAATAAGACTGATAAATTTGTTCCACAAATCCTTGGATTAATATTACAAAAAATATTTGTCTAACGTGTTAAAAAATAATAAAAAAAGCCCATCAGAGCCTACATCAGCTGTTCGGATGCAAAGAAAACACTTTATTTTCGTGTGAATGTAACAAATTTAATATATACGTTTCAACCCTTCAATTTGGGTCAATTATCAATATAACATATAAATCAAAATTACATAATTAACGCAAATTTCAAAATGGTGATTCCCGAGAATTTTTAATTATTTCCATACCAGGTTAAAATTTACAACTGAAATAGATGGGAACAAGTTAAATTTTCTCGACGTCACCTTAATAAAAAAGGGAAATTCTCTTATTCATAATTGGTACTACAAACCTACTTTTTCTGGTCATTACTTAAATTATTTTTCTAGACACCCTTTATGTTAAAAAGTGGTACAATCGTTGATTTAATTGATAAAGTTCTTTTTTTGTCCCACCCTATTTACCATCGAGAGAATTTTGAATTAATAATTAAAATTCTTTTAAACAATGGATATCCATTAAAACTCATATTCTCAAAAATAAAAAATAGGATGTCAAAAAAATTTAAACAATGGAATGACCAGTGTAATACACCTAAAGACAACACAACGGATAATAATGAAGATAAAATCAATCACAGATACATTTTTTACAATCCCCTTTATACCATTTTTATCGGAAAAGATCAAAAAATGTTCTAAAAAAGACTCCTTATATAGTACGAATGGCATATAGGAGGATTAATAATCTTAGGGGGTTCATCAGGGGTCATAAAGATGTTCGTCCCAAACTATCTCATACAAATGTTCTATATAAAATTCATTATCGAAATTGTGAAGCATCATATGTGGGCTAAACAGGTAGATGTTTGAAGCATCATATGTGGGCTAAACAGGTAGATGTTTGAACGCATAAATGAACATAGAAATCACATAAATTAGAACACTACACAACATTCCGTAATAACTGAACATAGAATTAGTCATCAGCATGATTTTGGTTGGGAAAATGACAAGATGTTAAACGAGGAAAGGGTACTCAATAAAAGATTGATTTCGGAAATAATTCATATAAAGCAACAGAAACAGAGTTTAAATTTACAGAATGATACGTATACTTTAGACCCACTATATTTGGATTTGTTTGCGGAATCGTGACGTTGTTTCCCCCCTTTGCTCTTATTTTTATTTTTATTTTCATTTCAATAACTACGTGAGTTTATTATTTTGACTCTCATTTCATCTCCGACTGTTGACACCACAAGACCTTTACGTCGAATCGTAAGAAACGCTTACATGTAGGTTAATAAAATTAAAATTCAGATTAATTATTTTAATAATTCTCTAATTGTTCGGTTTTTTCCTTTGAATGACTACGTAATAAATCTGACAATTTGATGTGCGATATGATTCTACTTTTGACGCAATGTACTTGACTCCGGCTTTATTTTATGTAAGTTTTTATATTATTATTGTATAAGTTAATTTTCTAATTTTAGACGCAATATTTTAATTCCGTTTTAATTTATGTAAGTTATTATTTTATTATTATATAAGTTATATTAATAATAATAATATTAATAATATTTTTGATAATCATTTGGCTATACTTTATATATAGCTAAATTGTTGGGAATCACCATTTTGTGGAATTTGCGTTAATTATGTAATTTTGATTTATATTGATAAGGACCCAAATTGAAGAGTTGAAACGTATATATTGATTTTGTTACATTCACACAAAAATAAAATGTTTTCTGTGCATCCGAGCTGCTGATATAGGCTCTGATGGGCTTTTTTATTATTTTTTACTGATAGATTCTTTCGAGCCTCATTTTATATATTTGTTAACATATTAAAAATACGATTAACTATTATGATTTTAATCTTAGTATATCAAACAAATTTTCTATAAAAAATCATTTCGTTGCGTTGGTAATTAATGAGAAAGAAAAATTATTTGTGTTTGTTCTATGTAATAGGTATATTTTTAACCTTAAATATGAGAAATACAAATATGAACTTGTATCTAGAAACATGTCTGGCTATATTGTTATCTAAAAATATGTTTAATTAAATTGGACAATACTATGTGCATCATTAAAAACTAGCAATAACATTAAAGAAAAAGAGAGTGTATATGCATTAGTTTAAAGCCCAATTACATAATTACATATAAAACATTGTTCTGTGCATTACGACGAACTCTTTTCCCTATGACACAATTGACTTAACAGACTTTCGTCGATTATCTCCAACCAACTTATCAGTACATTGCACAAAAACGTGAAAAAAGCATTGCGATGCTGGTACTACATATTTTGAATAGAAGTAGATGCAACAAATGCACGAGCAATGAATTCAAATTTTCAAAGTCTCGCTGTTTCTATCCCAAGAGCATATTATTTATTAAATAATGAATCATCAAGGTTAAGTTTTATTTAACATTACATAACGATAAAAATAGATAAATTGAGCACGCATGACACATATTTCTCGACCGTGTATGGGTATCATTTACACAGACGTGTGCGTGTGTCGTGTAACGCCAAGAGATCGCTTGCGTTTATATAATGGTAGCACCCGGGAGTGTGAGACCATTGAATCGCCGGCTGTCAGAATCATACGCTACTCCGACATCTCTACTCGCCGAAAGAATGAAATCCTACATGCTTGTATTCGTTGTTCTCACGACCATCCTCCTCAACACTGGTAAGTGATTATCTTTTATGTAAAATAAAAAATTATAACATGCTAATATAGAATTTCTAGAACACTAATATAAATGTATCATAGATTTTTATTCTGCACATATGAGATTTAAAAGAAAAGGAGATTAATTTCATACGTACTAAATTATTATATGTAAATTATTGCATGTAAATACGAAACTATTATTAAAATTTAATGTTAACA